ATGGATGACTTTAGCCTGTAGTTTTTCTTTAACAAGGTGACAATCAAGTTCAATATGCTTGGTTCTCTCATGGAATGTAGGATTAGCTGCAATCTGGAGAGCAGATTGATTGTCACAGTATAATGGAGCAGCAGCAAGATGTGAAACATGGAAATCATTCAGAAGATACAATAACCACTGAAGTTCACATGTAGTAGAAGCTAGAGCACGGTACTCTGCCTCAGAGGAGGAGCGAGATACTGTCATTTGCTTTTTAGCTTTCCAGGAGATAAGAGATGAACCCAGAAATATAGCAAAGCCAGTCACAGATCTCCTAGAATCGATGCAGCTAGCCCAATCAGAGTCACTGAAACCTTTCAGTTTTAAATCAGAATCTGAAGGAAGGAATAAACCAGCACCAGGAGAGGCTTTTATGTATCGTAGGACCCTGTGAGCAGCTTGAAGATGAATGTCTCTTGGATCAGACATGTATTGGCTGAGTTGTTGAGTAACAAAGCTAAGGTCGGGACGTGTGGTGGTGAGGTATTGCAAATGCCCAATCAGCTTCCTGTAGACTTGAGAGTTTTCCAGTGGTACTCCTTTATCTTTGGACAGCTTGAGATGAGGGTCCATTGGAGTTGAAGCTGGTTTGGATGCCAAGTATCCTGTATCTTGAAGAAGTTCCAGAGCAAATTTCCTTTGTGAGAGAAAAATGCCCTGCTTGGAACGTGCCAGCTCAATTCCAAGGAAGTAACGAAGCTCACCAAGGTCTTTTATGGTGAAAGCCTGATCAAGTTGCAGCTTAATGGAGTTGATCTCATTCATATCATTTCCAGCTAAAATAAGATCATCAACATAGACTAAGATAACTGTAAATGATGAAGCATTGGTAGCTTTGTAAAAGAGAGAATGATCAGAAGAGGATTGATGATAACCATAAGACAATAAGGCAGAAGAGAGTTTTGAATACCACTGGCGACTTGCTTGTTTTAGGCCATATAATGATTTCTGCAACTTACAAACCATATCAGATCTAGGGGCTATGAATCCTTTTGGAAGATCCATGTACACCTCTTCATGGAGATCACCATGAAGAAATGCATTATTCACATCTAGCTGGTGAAGAAACCAATTTTTGGCAGAAGCAATGGCAAGTAACATACGTAAAGTAGTCATTTTTGCAACTGGGGAAAAGGTATCAAAATAGTCTAAACCTTCAGTTTGTGTGTAACCCTTTGCAACAAGACGAGCCTTATGTCGTTCTATATCACCATTGGCTTTATACTTGGTTTTAAAGACCCATTTACAACCGATGGACTTCTTACCGGGTGGTAAAGAGGTGAGAACCCAAGTGTGGTTCTGTTCAAGTGCTTTGATTTCTGCATTCATGGCATCCCTCCACTGAGAATGTTTTACTGCTTGATTATAGGTGTTTGGATCAGATGTGGTGGAGACAGCCAAGACAAAACGTGTATAGGTAGGAGCAAGACAAGAATATGATAAAACAGATGATAAAGGATAACGAATGGAAGTCTTTTCTGATGATTGATTAGAAGTAATAAGGGCACAGTGATAGTCATGCAGATATGTAGGTGGGTGATGGGAACGAGTGGACCTTCTTACTGGTGGAGAAACAGAAGTATGAGATGATGTCATGTCAAAAGGAGGGGAAAGAGAAGGAGGAGAATGATGCTGAGAGAAGGATGGAGTGTCTTGCGAATGCATGGTGGAGGATGACATGTGAGGGGCTGGAAGTGAGATAGAAGTTGATGGAATGAAGCAATCATCAACTGGAGGAGATGAAGAGGGTTGGATAGAAGGTAAAATAGGTTGGGAGAGGGGAGAAGTGACAGAATCTGGTTTGAAAGGGAAGACAAGCTCATGAAAAATGACATCCCTAGATTGAAAGATTTGGTTGGTGTGTAAGTCTAGTAAAATGAAGGCCTTGGAGGTTGATGGGAATCCAAGAAAAATACATTTGTGTGCTCTGGAATCAAACTTCAAACGATGAGGAGATACTGTGGAGGCAAAACAAAGTGATCCAAACACCTTGAAATGAGAATAGGAAGGAGGTACATTGAAAAGCTTATCAAAGGGTGTGAAGTTATGAAGGACAGGGGAAGGAAGACGATTAATGATGTAGGTAGCATGTGAAACAGCAAAAGACCAGTATGATAAAGGAATGTTGGACTGAAAAACTAAAGCCCTAGCAACATTTAAGATGTGCTGATGTTTTCGTTCAACAATGCCATTTTGTTGTGGTGTGTAAACACAAGAAGTCTGGTGAATGACACCCTTTGATGTATAAAAATCAGTCATACAAAATTCAGTACCATTGTCAGACCGAAGGATTTTAATGGAAGTGGAAAATTGATTCTGAATCAAAGCAAAGAAATTAATGATGTGGGTGCGAGTTTCAGATTTGGTTTTCATCAAAAATGTCCAAGTATAACGGGAAAAATCATCTACAAGGGTCAGAAAATATTTATGACCATGAACAGAAGGAATGGAAAATGGTCCCCAAATATCCACATGGACCAAATCAAAAATATTATTAGTAGAACTTGTGCGTACAGGAAATGAAAGACGTTTCTGTTTGGCATAATGACAAGTATCACATGGAAGGGGGTGGGGAATACAGGAAATATCCTTATATTGTTTATGTAAAATGGAAAGAGCAGAATGAGAAATATGTCCTAGACGTAAATGCCAAAGAGTACTATCTGAAACAGAGGAAGTAGTGGTTGCATGAATCTGAGGTGAAAAACGAGAGTGGGAATGAGACATATCTGCATGTAGTAAGTATAACCCTTCAATTTGTTTAGCTGAACCAATCATCAGAAAAGGATTGAGTAAGAGTATCTGGCACCAAGAAGATGAAAAGAAGAAGAAACAATTAGTGGAGGTGGTTAACTGGGAAACAGAGAGTATGTTAAACGAAAAATTAGGGAGAAACAGAACATTATGTAGAACCAAAGATGAAGAAATTGTAACAGTGCCAGATATGGTGGAAGTGGCATGAGAACCGGTGGGTAAACTAACTTGAATAAGGGGAATAGAATGATAGGATGTAAAAAATTCTAAAGAAGAACAAACATGGTCAGTAGCTCCTGAATCAATAATCCAAGTAACTATGGCAGTAGAGGAAAAGGAATTGCATTTACCTGTAGCCAGAGGGAGAGGGGAAGTGGAGAGGTGATTTACGGAGGCAGGCTGAGGAGAAGCAAGCAAGGCCAGAAGTCGTTGATATTGCTCAGAGGACAAATGTGGCAAGACGGAAGCAGTATTAGGAGTGGGCAGCAGGGGAGGCTTAGCAGAGTTGGCATCTTGAACATTACCAGATTCTTGAGATGAAAGATTGTTCACCACGGTAGGAGAGCCGGATCGAAATTTAAAGCCTGGAGGGAAACCATGTTTCCTGTAACATGTTTCCTCTGTATGACGCGGTCTGCCACAATAAGAACATTGTTTGGAGGATCCGCCAGAGGACTTAGCGGGGGGACGCTGTGGTCCCTTAGCCAGTAAAATTTTGGAATCGACAGGTACTGATAGAGGGGGATGAAGTTCTCTCTCTTGTTGCAGAATTAAAGAAAAGACCCGATTAATAGACGGAAGTGGATCCAGAAGCATAATTTGTGACTTGACTCCACCGTATTGCTCGTTTAGGCCCTTCAAGAAGCGGATGACATAGTCCTGTTCGCGATGAGTTTGAGCATTCTCATTGGAGCCACAGGTGCAGGATTTTATCGGTCGTATATTCGAGAGCTCATCCCAGAGTATTTTGAGACGAGTGTAGTATTCACTTACAGTGAGAGGCCCCTGTTTGAGACTAAAGATTTCTTCCTGAAGCTCAGCGATTCTGAAAATATCAGACTAAGAGTACCTCGACTTGAGATCATTCCAGATTTCGGTTGCCGTGTCAAACCAGAGAGTGCTTCGAGCAATCGTGGGAGAGAGTGACTTAGTTAACCATCCTTGAACCAAGTTATTGCACCGTTCCCATGCTGGAAAAATCTTGTCAGAAGCTGAGGGGCGAGAAATCGAACCATCGACAAATTTCAACTTGTTCTTCGACAATAAAGCCATCGTCATGGCACGGGACCAGCCGTGGTAATTGGAGCCGTCAAGCGGCGGGGAGACTAGGACAAGAGCGGGATTTTCGCTTGGATGGATGTAATAGGGGCTTGATTGATCGGTTGATGGATCAGAGTTGGTCGCCATGGACGATCAGAGGAGAGGAGAGCGACCGAAAAAAAAAGAAGGGGGAGGCGGAGGAAACAAGGAAGGGGAAAACCAAAAGGAAGGAGAGAGAGAGAATAGGAAAAGACAAGAAAGGGTTTGTGTTTGGCTCTAGATACCATGAAACTTGATATTGGAAATGAATGAGCTAATATTATTATTGATCGGAAAGAATATATATACAAAAGTGAGCTAGAGAGCCGGAGACTATCTACATAACAAACTGTAACTAACTCTTAACAATATAACTTATTTAACAAAATATCTATGTTACACTTGACAATCTCTATGTAAAGCAATCACAGACTACTTACAGATGCCTTCCGCCGTAGAAACTAAAACCATCCCTCATCATAAAACTACCAAACTACTGACCAATGCGATTTGGATCCTCCCATAGTAACATGATGACGACGTGCTGTGTGGAGAAAAATAAATAAAATATCGTACCTTCTCTGCTATGAATGCATCTATTTTTCTGTTCACATGACGATCATATCACGTGAGAGGATCCAAATCTGAGTAATATACATCATATCTGGAACAGAGAATGAAAACAGTAAACAGCAAGTCAAGACCATGCCCCGCATTCGACACTAGTATAAAACATCTATGTGCGTAGAAGGGTAATACAAAACTAGGATAATCCCTACTTTCTCCCAGTTGTTCCAAGTCGAGGATTGCCCTTAAACTCATTTTCCTGCATTGCAGGAGCATATCATATTCGCATGTTGCCAAAAAAAGCCATTAAAGAACATTTAGTTTTACGACCAAATCATTGAATACCTGTGGCAAATGCAGGAAGATTTAAGTCTTTGCTGTCGCAGGATTATGATTTTCAGCCCCTTTACTCCAGTCATAGCAGACCTATAAACAGAAATATGAACATATCATTCACACAAGGTCTAACGACATTCTTTCAGATTTTTCTTTTTGGTATTTTTTCATAATTTCTGTTTCACAAGATGAGTCTGCAATAGCAAAACCCGTGAGTGAACTACGCAAATGCATAACTTCTCAATCATAGCAAAACAGGGTTACAAACACATCACGCACAGCTTCTTATAGCGCTTATCCAGTTTCTCTAATATATATAACTTGTCTTTCTTAGATGACATTGGCAGAAAAGTTCACCCTGAAGAGCCATCAATTAAGTCTCTTTTCTTGCGATTTTTTTGCATGCCTACATTTTTTCCAGTGAAATACCTACATGTTTCTACTTCTTTTTCTATCTTAATTCCAATATTCCAGACGATTCTCTAGCATTTTAGCATCCCCTCAAGCATACTCTGTGCAGAGGAGTTTTTCAAGCCACTCTCATTACAAATTGTAAATTTTTTTTTTTCTTTTTTTGGGGTGAGCTGGTATATAAATCAAAGATTCTCAACGTTACTTCGTGTGGCACGAAAGAGGATGCCAAAATTTATTTCACAGAGCTGCAAACGTGTGCAGAAACAGGCTGTACCGAGTAAGCAAAGATTGAACCATCATTGTTGAAGGTACTGCAAGGAATAGGTTGACTGCCCCTTTACATGGCCTGAAATTAGAAAAGCTTGCATTAAAATCAGAAAAGCATCTACAGAACTTGATTAAACCAAAAAGAATGGAATTGAAGATTATGCTGAAGACTGAAGTAGAGGATGCAAAGACCAGTAGGTTTCCGCTATTATATCTATATGCAGGTCATGCATTTGATTATGCAAATGAAATTTTCACTGAATTCTTCCTATTTCATTGCAAATACTCATCGGTAGCTTAGCAACTTGCGTAGGATATATTGGAACTCTACTTAAAAACGACTTGGCAAGAGTAATTCTTCCTTTAGTTAAGAGGCAATTCGCCTTTCAAGCATCAACTTTAGATCTGACTCTGTCCGCTATATATTGAAAGGTCTCTGTAGGTCTTCCATTTCCAGAGAGGGAAGCCCCAAGTACACCTACCAATCTCCTCTGCAATCTTCGTGCCATTCAGCAAGCTAAGTTTCCTCCTTAGAGCCTCGGGAACTTTAGGAGAGAAGAAAATGTGATAACCTGTTCAAACAATACGAGACAAACAAGTAGGGTGACTCCTTGGCAGAGTCCTCTCTTTGGAACAAAATAATCAATAAGATGCCCATTCCAAAAAACATTATAAGAAGGGGTGGAAACACACCGCGTGATGAGATTTATGAAATCACTCTCCATTCTTGCCTACAAGAGCACCTTCAGCAAGAAACTCCGTTTGATTATGTCACAGACCTTCTAAAGATTAATCTTTTAGGGACATAAAACCTCTCCTGCCTCTAGCTTACCTCATCGTATGCATTAATAAATGCCAGTAAACTTTTATTATTCCGTGTTTTTATTTGGGGAAAATTTGAGTCTGTCTTTTCTCTATCCCAAGGTCTGGATCAATGAATGCCTACTGAGAGAAAGCCAAACCAGATTGTTTTCTTTTTTAAAAAAAACATTTCGCTTTTTAAAGCCAAATAGAGTCGAATTCATAATATGATTGGTAAATTTTTTAATTTCTAAAAAAAATTAGTTAATTATTAATTTTAAAAAAAGAACCTTTACCGATAAATTAAGAATTCCTGTTTTGGCCTAATTTGATTTTGGTTGAGAATTGAGTTAAAAATAAATTTGAGTTCTTTTATAACAAAAAAAAAAGCATTAAATTAAAGTTAAAATACTAAAACACTTCAGTTTTTATAACAGAAAAATTCAATAAAATTAAAAATAAAAAGCTCCGGTTTCAAACCTGTTTCACCTGACAAAAAAACCATTAATGACAGCTATTGCAACAAATTTTGAGTTGATGACATCTGTCTATTTGTCATTTTAATTAAGCACCGACCTAAACATGTCGTGATTCTTAGATGTCTATTACTTGTCATTTCAATTAAGCACCAACCTAAACGTATTGTGATTCTTTCTCTAATGAGCTAATATCTAATGATCATAAGATCTCATTCTCAATACCCAACGGTTATAAGATCATTCCATTGATTCTAAAGTGCTTCTAAAGAGTCAGTAATATGAGATGGGCCTATCCAAAACGGTGGTGAGGTGATCTAACTTTTGCATAAAAAGCTATAATGAGCTATAAATAGAAATTAGTTGCTTATGATTTATGGCTTATGACTTTTGACTTTTGAAATACAAAGAGAGAAAACATTAAGCAATTTACTGCCTCCTCTAATTCTTATTATAAGCCTCAAAATAACTAATTTGTGGATAATAAAAAATCAGTTAAAATTAGTTGAAAGTAATAAATAAGTTAGAAATATAATGTTATTTTCAAATATGCCCATATAATAAATAATAAAAAATAAAAAATATATGAGATCAACAAGAGCTTATAAATAATTTAAAATTATTATATTATGTACATTTATAATTTATAATTTATTATTATTTAATAAAAGTCATACTCATTTTGATAATTTTGCAAACTAAAATTACTTATTTAATCATAATTCAAACAACTTACTTTCACAAACTAACTTATTTATAAAAATTAATCCAAACATAATCATATTATCCAATCTAATTTTTACTTAATCTTATTTTTCTAAAAACCAGATTATAAATAAGTTATTTTTTTTACTACTAATCGAAACAGACCCAATATCATTTCAGTGATGAGAATTACGTTAAATGTGATGATCCCTGCAAATGAGTACTGAAAAGTGGGCATTTGGGACATCGAAGGCCCAATAACTTACCCACCAAATTAGCTTGGTTTTCGGTCTCTTTCATTGTCTTGCCTCCTCCAATTTTTTCCTTTTGAAATTCTAGAAAAAGGAAGTGATAGATCATCAATAGTTTAAAAAATCAGAAAACCGGAGTTCACCGGCACAATACTCTTTGTCCAGCTCATCAACACATAAAAAGTCACTGGGGGAAGCTGGAATGGTACCTTACCTATCAAACCTCTTCCCTTGAGTTTCAAATATTCCAAATTAAGATTGGTACCATTAAGAGTAACTGGCAACTTATTCCAGTACATGAGTTGAGTGAGTTTGGCAAGGGTAAATGTTAAGTAACTTACCTGTAAGATTGTTGAGATAAAGAAAGCCTGGTCAGATTTTGAAGACTTCCTATCAGCATTGGAATGGTACCTATCAACAAATATATTAGATTATGTAGAGGTAAATACAATAATTCTAAATTGAGTGAATTTGCAAGATAGTAACAGTGGAAGTGGAAGGTACATAACTTACCAGTAAGATTGTTACATTATTAGACAAGGCAAGATAAGAGCTAAGTTGAGGATTATTCTTGAAACCCTTAAAAATTAAGAATCGTTTTGTCCTCACCTCACACATAAACACACATATCTAAGTTGCTTCTAATTAATTCACTGGAATCAAGATAAGTTGAAGCAATAAAATTTGCCTTAAAATTGATTCATTTTGCATTATTGCCACTCACCAACACCATCATTAAATATTACTACCTCCGGTATTTAATATAAGAGCTAATTAGGAGTTATTGGATAATTTTGTCTTCCAAATCTATAATGTTTTATATAAAATATATCTCTACTAATTATAAGAATTCTCACCAGAGAGTAACCCACCTGCAATCTCTTGTAAGACTAGTTCAAATAAAAGAGACTATGAAGAGCTCCTGAGATGGTGCCTGTAGAAACATTCATTCGGAATGCAAATTAATGTGTTCTAGACACTAGGTCATTTCTAATCGAATAAAAGTTCAAGGTAGTAAGGGTGGAAGAGAACTCACCTGTAATGTTATTATGAGACAAATCCAGCGCGTTGAGGTTTTGAAGAGTTCCTATATGAGTTGGAATGAAACCTATCAATAAAAGTTATAGCAGTAATATTCCATGGTGTTCTTTGTGGCAAAGCACGTTTTTCCTTTGCTATCATTGCAACAGCAGTAGAATCGTAGGACAAAGCAGGAATGGCATGCCATAATAGTAATACGGACTTTATGCAATTTTGTTTTTGCCTTTTCTTTGGAGAAGTCAAGAAAGAATTCACAGACTTCCATATATAATGGACTTTATGGTTTTCTTAGGGGTATTTGGATGAAAATTAAACCATGGTTTCAAAAGTGCTTTTACAGTTTATGAAGTAAATACGTAGATGAATTTGCTTCATTTTGCAGAAAAATACTTTTGAGAGTTTTATTCGATAGTGAAAATCGTGTCTTTGGTTAATTAGTTATTTTCACTTGAAGATTATTCTTGAAAACCTTAAAATATTAAGAATGTTTAGTCCTCCCCTCAGTCACGCACATGCACACACAAATATTCCCTAGAAGATATATATCAGTAACGCTTCCAAATTCATTGCAAGATATCTGTTCCCAGAGACAAGTTGTGGGCGCTATCACTGAAATTCCACCATTTAGTCTGAGGCAGAGCACATTTCTCCTCTTCTATATCATATTGGCCACAGCCGCGATCTACAACAAAGCATAATAAAAATACCACTGTCATCACCCCCATCTTCAATTCATTTGCTTGCAAAAATGATCACAAAATGGGTGCACCCATAGAGTCTTCATATATATATTTACATGTGTGTGTGTTTGTGTGTGTAGAGGAATATCGAAATGACAAGAGCTTAACTATCATGGCTCTACGAGTATTGCTATGCGCGCTTTATTGTTATTAGCTGATAGTGCATTTATCATTAGCATCATCATCATATTTAAATTATTCATATCATAAGTTTCACAAATGACTTTTAGATACAATTTCGAGTCCTTAATATAAAATTCAGTTAATTAATTTGGGTATATTAAGAAAGCTAATTAATAAATCACTTTAAAGTATTTACATTTATCAATTTAAGAGTAAATTTGCCCCAAAAGTTTTAAATCATAGCAATATTACCTCCTGTCATTAAAAAATTAGCGTTGACTGTTAAAATAGTAATGTTGATCGTTAATGTTTTTAAGAGCAGGAGGCAATACTACCATAATTTTAAATTTCCAGGATAAATTTGCTCTAAATAAAACTTTCAAATTCCTAGCGTTTTTGAGTGAAAATTTTCGGAACAAATTTGCATTGTAAACCTATATATAAAAGATAAGATAAAGTATGTACAAAAAAGAAATGGATGGCTCGTAATTTATTTCAGCTTCTTCCAGTAATTTTTAATAATTAATATTTCAAGTTCTGGAATCTGAATTATCAATATAACGTGAGAGAGGGGTACTAATTTATTTGGTGGCCAATAATTTATTGCATGAAGTTTCTTGCCACTTACAATTCAAGTGAAAGTTCAAAATTCTACAACTACTACTTATACCATTATGGTCTTGGTCTTACTTAAAGACTCTTGTAAACGTGTTCAGCAAAAATTCAAATACGATTTTGAAAACACGTCACAAGTATTATAATTTCCTTTTTTTCCTAATTGCTTTGAAAATCAAAGGAGGAGAAAAGGATCATTGTTAATGGTCTTCATCCATATTAAAGTGTACATTAATTAATGGTCCTCATCAATATTAAGAAAAATAATATTAACAATTAAAATAGTGATATTGATTGTTAACATTTTTTTTTTGATGAAATGATTATTAACATTTTTAGCAGGAACAAAATTGCTAAGATCTGATTTTGAACTTTTGGAGCAAATTTATACCAAAAAAAATTTTCTAGGTGCCTAGTGCTTCTAAATAAAAACTTCCAAAATAAATTTGTACCTCAATCTTTTATTTTTCTTAAATTCAAACAAAAGTTCTGAGGTCCATTATATTCGTAATAATAAAATTATCTAGCACTTTGATCTGTTTTATCAAATTTTTTTAAAAAACTTTGTACGTATTTAAGCTGCGTAATATACAGATGAATGTAATAATTATAACAGATAATAGATCTCTTTTCTTCTTCTTTTCTTTTTTTCCAATTTTGAAAAATCAAAGAAGAATTAAAAACATCATTGTTAATGGGCTTTGTCAACATTAAAGTCTTGTCAATGAAAACGGGCATGAATTGCTAAACGTGAGATGAACATCACAATGTGTTAATGTTTAAATTCGTATTAGGATTTGGATTTACTGAAGTGAGGTTTGTGTGCAGTGCTCAGGTGCCCCACATCAAAGGTAGAAAAAAAGAAGATAAATGTACTCTAATTCCACTTAACCACTGCACACAAACCTAACTAAACTCACAGCAGGGGATCTATATTCTTTAAAAAAAAAATATTAAAGAAAGGAAACTAATGCACCCAAACATCAACTTTTTATATCTCGAAAACTTTTGATAAAAAAAAGGGTCACAAATACAAGAATGTAAGTTGTAAATAAGTACTTATTTAGGTCGTCTCAGGTTATTCTCAGTTATTTACAATTAGAACTAAGATTTTTAGATTTGTAGCCATTTGAATAAATATTAATAGCTCACCGTTCAACAAAATTTCTGGGGCCTAGT